TTGGGGGATTATGTATTTGATGAAAAGGAGCTGTTACTTATATACCAATTGTAGTTGTTTGATAAATAGAATCTGTCACTACAGAACTTAATTTTAGAGTTTGTGGGTGTTTAATTGGGAACAGCCAACTTCCTGACCCTGGTGTGCCCTACATTAGAGACACAGGACACACTGCTCTGAGTGTTTGAAGAGGACCTCACAGACACAGGTATTGTATTAAGCAAAGGGTTGAATTGTTTTCCCTTTTAGTGTCATTTTTCTGCTTTTTCTCTCTTTCTATCTGATATGTTTTGGCTCCGTGTCCCCACCCAAATCTACTCTTGAATTGTAACCCCTATGTGTTGAGGGAGGGAGCTGGTGGGAGGTAATCGGATCATGGGAGCCATTTCCCCCATGCTGTTGTCATGATACTGAGTTCGCATGAGATCTGACGGTTAAAACGTGTTTGGCAGCTACTCCCTCGCTCACTCTCTCCTGCTGTCTTGTGAAGAAGGTGTTTGCTTGTCCTTCATCTTCTGCCTTGATTTTAAGCTTCTTGAGGCCTCCCAGCTATGCGGAACTGTGAGTCAATTAAACCTGTTTCTTTTTTATTTTATTTATTTATTTATTTATTTATTTATTTATTTATTTATTTGAGATGGAGTTTAGCTCTTGTTACCCAGGCTGGAGTGCAATGGCGCGATCTCGGCTCCTGAGTTCCGGCAATTCTCCTGCCTCAGCCTCCTGAGTAGCTGGGATTACAGGCACGTGCCACCATGCCCAGCTAATTTTCTGTATTTTTAGTAGAGACGGGGTTTCACCATGTTGACCAGGATGGTCTCGATCTCTTGACCTCGTGATCCACCTGCCTCGGCCTCCCAAAATGCTGGGATTACAGGCGTGAGCCACTGTGCCTGGCACCTTTTTCTTTATAAATTACCCAGTCTCAGGTAGTTCTTTATAGCAGTGTGACAGTATACTAAAACACCATCCAAAGGCAGACGTGTGGAATCTAATGGAATGAGAGGCCATGCAGGGCTGCTGGGAGAAAGATGTAGACACCGCCTCATTCTCCTTCCCTGTGTCCCTTGTGTTCATGGTACTCATTGAGCTTTGTCCACAGGCTGGAGTGTGAGGCTCAGCCATGGCCTGGGAGCAGAACTCAGTGACTGTGCTGTCCAGTGGATTGGTCCTGTGACCCCGAACTCCTCAAAATCATGTTTGTTTATTCATTTGACAAACATTTATTCAAGCACATCCACTGTTATGCCAGACATGTTGGTAGTTGGAGATTAATTATTGAAATAATTTTTTTCTAATCTTAAAGAGCTTACAATTTTGTGGGAGAAAGAAAGACATACTGAGTAAGAAATTAGAGTGTTGGGAGTTGAACAATGAGAACGCATGGACACAGGGAGGAGATCATCACACACTGGGGCCTGTCAGGGGATGGGGGGCTAGAGGGAGGGATACCATTAGAAGAAATACCTAATGTAGATGATGGGTTGATGGGTGCAGTAAACCACCATGGCATGTATATACCTATGTAACAAACCAGCACGTTCTGCACATGTGTCCCAGAACTTAAAGTATAATTAAAAAAAAAAAAAGAATAAAAAAGAAATTAGGGTGTTAGGGAAATTAAGGAAAGTAGGATGCTGCTCTGACTGCAGTAAAAATGAGCATATGAAGCCACTCCACAGGTAGAAGTGGAGTGAAGGAGAAACTATAGAGGACTTCCTGGAGGAGGAGGTAATTCCTGAGCTGAGTCTCAAAAGAATGAGTGGCAGCAAACTGATTTTAGCCAACTAATCTTGCAAATGAGTGGAGAAATAAGGTTAGTGGTATTGCCTAGGGTACATCAAATGCTTCACTTATATTTATAAATATATTAAAAAATTTTAAATTATATATATTTTTATATTTAAAAATATGACTTTAGCACCATTAAAGAAAAAATGAAGCTCCCTTAATTTTACGTCTCTGATTTAAACCTTTGATGTTGGTGATCACGATGTTTTTGTGCACTGTCATTGGTTGTCATGCAATTTCATACAACTATTACATAATTGTAAGCCCAGGACTTACTGCATTTTGTGCTTTTAAAATGTAATATTTTGACATGTTAAACATAGCATAGTGAGTAAGTCATGGGCTCTAAATGAATCAGTCCTGGCAGAGTTCTTGACTGTGCTGCTACAAGCCCATAGAACCTGCACATATTACATAGTTTCTCCATGCCTCCGTTTCCACACCCATAAAATAGAATTAATAGTAACTATACAGAGTCATAAAAATGGAGTAACGTAACAGGTAGAGCAGTGGATTTCAACTGGGAGGGCTATTGCCTTCTAGGGGACATTTAGCAATGTGAGGAGACAGTTTTCGTTGTCATAGCTGAGGGAAAGGTTCTATTGGCATCTAGTGGGCAGAGGCCAGGGATGCTACCAAACATTCCAAAATGCACAGGACTCCACAAAAAAGATTTATCTGGCTGAAAAGGTCAGTAGCATCCAGGCTGAGAAATCCTGCTGTAGATTATGAGAACAGTGTCTGGTACACATGAAACATCTGTTTAATTTCATTGTTATTTCCTAAAACTTCCAAAGTCTGTGACCTGCTATTCAAGGATAGGTGTAAACAAAGCTAACTTTTCTACATTTCTCTCCTGCTTCTCCTTTACGCAAACCACAAACTCTAGCCAGACAAGTCGACTCGCTGTCACCTATGTTATGCCCGTTCCTGAGTATGGGTCTCTGTCCCTGTACTGGGAATTCCTCTCTCCTTAGCATAGCAATTCTCCTACCTCCTTTCAAATCTAGCTTCTCTGCGGAAGCCTCTGAGTGATTACTTGTGCCTGGAAAACCCTTTGTACAAAGCAGTCCAATGTCAGTTACACACATTTCCTTCTGCATGCAGGTTTTGTTCCCCTATGAAATCCTGGGCAACCCCAGAGGAATTTTCTCAGGGCCAGGCACTGTGCTAGTCCCTGAGTACAAACATTTAACAAAGTGCTGTTCTTTTTTTTTTTTTTTTTGAGACAGAGTCTTGCTGTGTCACCCAGGCTGGAGTAGAATGATGTGATCTTGGCTCACTACAACCTCCGCCTCTTGAATTCAAACAATCCTCCTGCCCCAGCTTCCCGGGTGCTGTTCTATCTGCAAGGAGTGCACTGTGTGGCCTACTTAATCTAGTATACAGTAGGAGCTCATTAAACACATGAAAGAGGTCATGAGGTCTAATAGAATGAATTTTGGAGTCTGGCACACTGGAAAGGGTTAAACTCTGATCTTACTAGCTGTGTGACCCATTCAAATGACTCATCAACACAGTCTCACCTTTATAGTGGGTGTGAGATGAGGTCTGTCTAGGGGAGTTTACTGAATACTTAGTCACTGCTTAAAAAATGTTAGTTCTTTTCCATTGCTGTTTACTCATTCGTTTTACAACTGCTCAACGCTGTTCTGGTCCAGCAGGACTCCCTTGTACAACCCCCAACAGATCCATGCCAGTCCCTGTCCAGGGTCCAGCTTTGTCTTAGTAAACATTCATCCCCCTGACTCAGGCTGCTGCTCAGAAATTCTATTTTGGTTGTAGTTCCATTGTGTGGAACCAGTGCTGCGACTCCTAAGTAGAATTCCAGGAAAGGCAAAGCCCTTGAGGGATCTCTACTTGGCTGAGTCTATGCTCTGTTACCCTTCTCTTCTCTGCATCCAAAGCACATTCTGATTCTGTTGAGGAGATTCCTTCTGGGTTGTTTCCACGCAGCTGGGGGTACCAAGAGCAGCCCTAGTTCTTAATGTATAGTACAGATGACATGTGTTTTGACTTACAGCATATATCGTCTGCTTTGCTGAGTCAAAAAACATGTAAACGTTTTTGGTTAAGCTATTCACTAGACATTGCATTTGCAGGGCATGGAGCTCAGTGAGAGGCGACCAAAAAGTGCTGACAAGCCGGAGGTCGTGATGCTTTTTGTTTCTGATTGTGGCATGGATGGGGATGGGGTGGCTCCAGGCAAGTAACTTACTCTCTCTTGGCCTTCAGATGCGCTCAGTATAGAGGATGGAGTTAGGGTAACCAGTATCTGCTGCGTAGCTTTGGACACGTTAATTAGCCTCTTTGAGCTTCAGTTGTGAAATGGAGATAGCAACAACATATAACAACAGAATTGTTGTGGGAATTAATAAAGATAAGGCTCAGAATTCTTAACACAGCATAGCAGACACTGTGGGTGTCTCCCCACCCCTCATCCCATTGTCCGTACACTGAGGCTTTCTGTGTATTTTTTCTGAGGATGAGCTCTTGCCTTGGGAGGGTGCTCAGTGCATGTGTATGGCAGGCTGGAAAGCTGTGTGATATGGTTTGGCTGTGTCTCCGCCCAAAATCTCACCTTGAATTGTAATCTCCATAATCCCCAGGTGTCAAGGGAGAGAGCAGGTGCAGGTAATTGAATCATTGGGGGCAGTTTCCCCCAGGTTTTTCTCGTGACACTGAGTGAGTTCTCATTGCGTCTGATGGTTTTGTGTTTGGTAGTTCCTCCTGCGTTCATTCCTCTTCCTGCTGCCTTGTGAAGAATGTGCCTTGCTTCCCCTTCCCCTTCCACTATGATTGTAAGTTTCCTGAGGATTCCCCAGCCATGCGAAACTGTGAGTCAATTAAACCTCTTTTCTTTATAAATTACCCAGCTTGGGCAGTTCTTCATAGCAGTATGAGAACAGAATAATACACTGGGATTGCCAAGGATTTAATGTACCACGAGTTACCCCAATAAATAAACATGGGGAGGGAGTTGGGGCAGCCTCCTCCCCACTTAGTGGGGAACCCTGAGATGTGTTCCGTGCAGTCCCTCAGAGGCACACAGTGGGACTGAGCTCCAGTTGCCCACAGTGGTAGCTGCTCATTGATGTGCTCTCATGAGTTTGCCTCTATCCCCTGTCTCACTCTCCCTCAAAATGCTCCCAAATAAACTCTGCAACCAAATCCTCATCTCAGGCTGTGCTTTTGGGATGCCTATGACTCATGCCTGCTGTTGGTACTAAAACGTGAAAGCACCTTGAAAATAACACACTCTCCACACATATTCATTCTGTCTATAGACCTAATATGCTCCTGTTATTCAACCAGCATCACCTACAGATAATTTTCTAAGTACACTGCAACTGGCTGGTTACAGCTGGTGATATAATTGTAGCATGGGTCTCTTTTTGAGGCCTGGATTGGGCATGCATGGGCATTGCAGTTGTGGAAGTTTTGGCTGAGTTGTAAGTGTGATTTGGATACATGATTATTTAGATATTTTTTATAAAAAATCCTCTTGTGATTGTGTATACATAAATTTGGTTTTGTTACGTGTGTGTGTTGGGGAATAATTGGCCATGCATTATTTTAAGAGTCTGGGAAAGATGAGAGTGGGGCCAGGGTTTCTATGTGGAAGATGGCTGAGTAAAGATGCCACATATTTCTCTCCCATTGAGAGGTGAGGTCTAATTGCCCTCCCATTAGGTTTGTGCTGGCCTTACTTACTAGCATTTGGTAGGATGTACAGAGTGGTACTGTGTGACTTCAGAGGTTTGGCCAGGAGGAGGCCTGCAGCTTCCTGGTGGGTCTATTGGAACACTTGCTCTTGACACTACTTCTCGGGCTTCCTCTCTCAGAATCCAGCTTCCATGCTGAGAGAGCCCCAGTCCCCATGAGACGCCATGTGGGGATGCTCTGACTAATAGTCCTGGCTGAGCCCTCAGCCTACTGCCAGCATCAACTGCCAGCCACGTGAGTGAGATGTTTTGGACATCAGCCCTATTGAGCCTTCAGACAACTTCAGCCCTGGTCAAAATCCAGCTGCAATATAGGAGAGATCCCCAGCCAGCACCCCCAGCTGAGATCTTCCTGAATTGTGGGCTCACAATATCATGAATGTGATAATAGCATTGCTTTGAGTCTCTAGTTTTGGGTTAACTTGTTCTGCATTGGTAGCTAACCGGAAGAGGAAGGAAGAGATTGTATAGAGTGGAATTGGAGTCATACCATAGAAACATATGACTTATTTAAATCATGAAGATTTGGTTGAGTGTGTGTTTAGGGGGCAGAGAGAGAGAGAGAGAGAGAGAGAGAGAGAGAAAGAAAGAAAGAGAGAGGCTTGATTGAGCAACTTAAGCTGTATGGACAGTTCCACTCCTCATTCTATCAGTGGGACTTTTCCCAGAGTGAGGGTCACATGGATGATGTGAAGTTTGAATCTTCTTTTTGGTGAGTTGGTCTCAGTTTTACATGTCTCCCTCCCTTGCCACACTGGACATGATTCTGGCACTCAAAATTAAGTATTTTCACATGTAGTGTCCCCTAAAACAACCTGGCTTTTTCATCTGCTGCTTGACCATGGAAGTTTTAATCTGCTCTTAAATGAAAAAAAAATATGATGGTGTTGGGCTTCTTGGGAGATGGTTTGCTTATCTCTAGCATGCTGTCCTCTAAAGGGACATTCAATATGAAATTTTAGGCTTATGATTTGAATTCAGATTGTAGGCCTTGGATAAAATGGGCAGAATAGATTATATTTCTTTGTATTCACCACAGTACCTAAATAATGTCTTCATAGAGTGGATGTTGGCTAAATATTGGTTGGTAACATAGGTTAGGTCCTAGAAAGAGCCCTTTAAGCATAATCCCAGTGACAGTGCTGGCTGATTGCCACAGACCACCATTGTTAATTGTAATAGGGACTTTGAAGTCTCCTCCATTTGAATGACTTTCATTTGAACTGGAATTTTTCTGTATTAGATAAAACTTTGACTACTGCCAAGAATGTCTGCCAAAGATGGGGTAGCAGTATGGAGGTGTAGAATTGTATAGAAACCAACTACAATACTTACTGGAATCTTCTAAGAAAGGATATAGGATGCAGCCATCACCTTTACTGTCATGGAGTTAACTGGTTAGTTAAGAAGGCAGATGGGGAACAGTATTGACAAATGTGATGAGCCTTGTTCAAAGTGTTGCTATGGGAACATAGAGGAAGAGATTTAACTTTATCTAGGAGGTAAAGGAATGTTGCCATAAAAATGACTGAAGGGCAAGAAGATCTTGGCTAGGTGAAGAGAAATAGGGAAATGTTATTTTAGGCAGAAAAATAGCACATGCTTAGTCTAAAGCAAGGGATGGCAACCATTTTCTGCATAGGCCTGGCAGGTAATATTTTAGGCTTTGTGGGTCCAATGGTCAGTCATAACTACTTTTTTATTGTAGCATGAAAACAGCTTGAGACAACATGAAAATAAATGGGCGTGGCTGTGTTTCAATGAAACTTTATTTGCAAAAACAAGTGGTGGGCCATATTTGGCCCAAGAGTCACAGTTAACCAACTCCTGCTATGACCCTGTGAAGCAAGTAACTTGACTTCCATTTTATAGATGAGGAAATGGAGGCCCAATAGCACAAAACTGGTAAGTAGCAGAGCTGAAATTGGAATTATAATGAAAGTCCAATTCATCATAATTCCAAACCTGTGCTCTTTCATCACAGTACGTACCTCCTTTCTAAAATATCTTTTCAAAGCTTCTGTCAGAACAGCAGAGCCATGTAACTGTCCATCACAAAAATGCCCAGTACATTTTACTGCTGTGCCAACAACAGTGGCTGGAAGGAATGGCTAAATGGTGAGTGTTAAGTACTCTTCAGGCTCTATGCAGATTATTCCATGTGTTTCTTTCTTGTGATATATATTATTTTCATTCTTTGGTAATGTTTTATCTTTTTTTGCAGTTTGCTATGCTATCAATACATTACACAATCCAGCCATCATTTCAAGAGTTCTGAGAATCAAGTATTTCCTCTGGCACAGCACTTCATCTGTTGTTAATCCTGATATGAAAATACTTTCGGAAGTTTTACTATTCACAGGCATCTTGTTTCTTTGTTGGATGTCTGGGAAAGATCAGAATGTGCAGTGCTTGCATCGTTGGAGTCCTTTGTTCCACATTAATAGTCTACTTTGATGACGTTCTCTAAGGAGTGGTAGACATATTATGTCATATGGCCAAGGTTACTTGGTTTATAGCGTTTTAAAATGAATTTTTATTTATCTTTGGACAGTTCTTCTAAGGATTCCCTGGCCCTTTGGATATTAAATTATAAAGATTTCAACATGCATCGTGGGGTTGAGTGAATGGGTAGCGTCTAGATAGCAGTCATTGCTGCAGGGCTTGGGCTTCCTGCTAGTGGGAGAGTGAACCAAGTAACCACAATCATCACTTCAGCCTCAAAATCCTGGGGCCAGTATGGTGGTGTAGTCAACCTCAGAATATCTGTCAACTCTGCGCAGTTTTGGGGTGATCTAGACACTTTCTTCTCTGCCTCTCTGAGCTCATTTATTCATTTAACAAGTCTTTGTTAAGTCCGTATGCATCTGACATTGTGCAAGACTTTGGGCAAGAACAGACAGCTGCTTGTTCTTATGGAGCTTACATTATAGTAGAGGAGACAGATATCAGATTGATGAATGAAACATTGATGAATACATATTTGTCAACTGAGTTTTTCATCTTTGTAAATTGAGTATTTCAGTTTTTCTGAAATAAAGAAACACAGTACTAGAAAGGAGCTCGTCTCAGACTGGGTGGTCAGGGAAAGTTCCCTGAGAGAATGCTTAGTCTGGAATTGAATGGATAAATAAGGGATAAAAGCTAGCTGAAGGTGGGAAGTTCTGGATCTTCCAGAAAGAGGGACAAATATGAGCAAAAACGGCATGCAACAAATTGAAAGAACACCAGTAGGCTCCAAGCATACCTCCTCCCGGAGTGAGTTACCCTTCTCTGAGAATCACTGGGAATCCTGCCCCCTGGACCTGCTAATAGATACGTGGTGAGGATCCTGTAAAACTAGGTGAATGAACTGGCCCAGTTCATTCACTCTGCACTTGTCCACACTCTTAGACTAGGTGATAATACCCATGAGAAGAGCGTGTAAAACACTCTTCTACCTGGCAGGGGCCCGGGACTTTGAGCTTCAGCTGATGGAGAATCTCCTAGGATCCTGGGTTGGACTGCAGGATATGGTGTCCTCAGCTAATTTTAAGGTGGGCTCTGACAGACTGTTCAAATGAGTCTTCAGTTCAAGGGGCTGGGAAGAAGCTGAGGAATATGGACATAGCTCACTTTATTGCACTCCACTTGTGGCACTTCACAGATAATTGCATTTTAAAAAATAAGTTGGAAGTTTCTGGCAACCCTATGTCCAGCAAGTCAATTGGCACTACTCTTCTGACAGCATGTGCCATGTGCTGACTTCATGTCTCTGTCACGTTTTGGTAATTCTTGAAATATTTCTAGCTTTCTCATTATTTATCTCTGATCAGGGATCTTTGATGTTACAGTTGTAATTGTTTGGGGGCATGACGAACAGTGCCTATTTAAGAGGGTGAGCTTAATCCATAAATGGGTGTGTTCTGACTGTTCCACGGACTGGCTTTTCCCTTTCTCTCTTCCTCTCTTCAGGCATCCCTACTTCCTGAGACTCAGTGATATTTAAATTAGGCCAATTAATAATCCTACAATGGCCTCTAAGTGTTCAATGGACAGGCAGAGTCACACATCTCTCACTTTAAATCATAAGCTACAAATGACTAACCTTAGTGAGCAAGGCCTGTCGAAAGCCAAGATAGGCAGGAAAGAATGGCTCTTGTGCCAAACAGTTTTAGCTAAGTTGTGAGTACAAAGAAAAAAATTCTTGAAGAAATTAAAAGTGCTACTCCAGGGAACACAAAAATGACAAGAAAGCTAAACAGCCTAATTGCTGATATGGAGAAAGTTTTAGCGGTCTACACAGAAGACGAAACCAGCCGCATCCTCCCCTTAAGCCAAAGCCTAGTCCAGAGCAAGGGCCCAACTCTCTTCAATTTTATGAAGTCTGAGAGAGGTGAAGAAGCTGCAGAAGACAAATGTGAAGCTAGCAGATACTGATTTATAAGGTTTAAGGAAAGAAGCTGACTCTATACCATAGTGCAAGGTCAAACAGCAAGTGCTGATATAGAAGCTGCAGTGTTATCCAGAAGACCTTGCTAAGATCACTGATGAAGGTGGCTACACTAAAAAACATGTTTTCAATGCAGACAGAACAGCCTTACATTTGGAAGAAGATGCCATCTAGGACTTTCGCAGTTGGAGAAGAGAAGTCAATTCCTGGCTTCAAAGATTCAAAGACAGGCTGACTCTCTTGTCAGGTGTAATGCACTAGTGACTTTAAATTGAAACCAATGCTCATTTACCACTCCAAAAATTCCAGGACCCTTAAGAATTAGGCTAAATCTACTCTGCCTGTGGTTTATAAATGGAAAAACAAAGCCTGGATAAAACCACATCAGTTTATATCATTGTTTACTGAATATTTTAAGCCCACTGTTGAGACCCATTGCATGGAAAAAAAAAAAAAAAAAGATTCCTGGCTGGGTGTGGTGGCTCACGGCTGTAATCCCAGCATTTTGGGAGGTTGAGATGGGCAGATCACTTGAGGTCAGGAGTTCAAGATCAGCCTAGCCAATATGCCAAAACTCCATCTCTATTAAAAATACAAAAATTAACTGGGTGTGGTAGTGCACATCTGCAATTCTTGCTACTTGGGAAGCTGAGGCATGACAATCACTTGAACTCAGGAGGTGAAGTTTGCAGTGAGTTGAGATCATGCCACTGCACTTCAGCCTGGGTGTTGGAGTGAGACTCTGTCTCAAAAAATAAAAGAAAAAAAAAAAAAGAAAAAAGGCCAGAGGTGGTGGCTCACTACTGTAATCCCAGCCCTTTGGGAGGCTGAGGTAGGTGGAGTTCAAGACCAGCCTGACCAGCATGGAGAACCCCCATCTCTGCTAAAAACACAAAATTAGCCGGGCGTGGTGGCACATGCCTGCAATCCCAGCTACTCAGGAGGCTGAGGCAGGAGAATTGCTTGAACCTGGGAAGCAGAGGTTGCAGTGAGCCGAGATCATGCCATTGCACTCCAGCCTGGGCAACAAGAGTGAAACTCTGTATATAAAAAAAAAAAATTCCTTTCAACATACTACTCCTTGACAATGTCATCCTAGAGCCCTAATGAAGATGCATGCAAAAATTAATGTTTTTCTGCTCTCCAGCAAAACATTCATTCTGTAGCCCACAGATCAAGGAGTAATTTTGACTTTCAAGTCTGACTATGTAAGAAAAATATTTAATAAGGTTATAGTTGCCATGGATAGTGATTCCTCTGTTGGATCTGGGCAAAGTCCATTAAAAACCTTCTGAAAAGAATTCACCTGTCTAGATGCCATTAAGAACATTCATGATTCTTGGGAGGTGCTCAAAAATATCAATGTTTATGGGAGTTTGGAAGAAGTTGATTCCAACTCTCATGGATGACTTTGAGGGGCTGAAAACTTCAGTGGAGAAAATGACTGCAGATGTGGTAGAATTAGTGAGAGAACTAGAATTAGAAGTGGAGCCTGAAAAAGTGACGATTTGCTGCAACCTTATGATAAAACTTGAATGAATGAGGAATTCGTTCTTATGAATGAGCAAAAAAAGTGGTTTGCTGAGATAGAATCTACTCTTGGTGAAGATGGTGTGAACATTGTTGAAATGACAACAAAGTATTTAGAATATTCCATAAACTTAGTTGATAAGACAGTGGCAGAGTTTGAGAGGATTGACTCCAATTTTGAAAGATCTAATGTGGGTAAAATGCTATCAAACAGCATTGCATGCTACAGAGAAATTTTTAATAAAAGGGAGAGTCAATCACTGTGACAGACTTCATTGTTGTCTTATTGAAATTGCCACAGTCACCCTGATCGGGGTGGTGCTTCAGTCAGGAGCCATCAGCACTGAGGTAAGCACCAACAGAAAGATTATGACTCACCGAAGGCTCAGATGATCATTAGCACTTTTTAAGCAATGAAGTATTTTAAAATGAAGATCTGTGTTTTGTTTTTTTGATATAATTCTATCAAATGCTTAATAGACTACAGTATAGTATAAATGTAGTTAAAAATGTTTTTATTTTGATAGCTTTAGGGGTACAAGTGATTTTTGGTTACATGGGTAAATTGTATAGTGGTGAAGTATGGCCTTTTAGTTTACCCGTCAACTGAATAGTCCATGTTGCAGCCAATAGGTAATTTTTTATGTGTCATCACCTCCCTCTTTCCTTTCTTCGGCATCTCCAGTGTCCATTATACCACTGTATGCCTTCATGCGCTGATAGCCAGCTCTCACTTATGAGACCACGTGATATTTGGTTTTCAATTCTTGAGTTGCTTCACTTAGGATAATGGCATCCAATTCCATCCAAGTTGCTGCAAAAGACATCATTTCATTCCATTTTATGGCTGAGCAGTATTCCATGGTATATGTACACCAAATTTTCTTAATTTTTCTATTTTTATTTTTAGATCCAGGGAGTACATGTGCAGGTTTGTTACTTGGGTGTGTGTATAAATATATATTTCCCCTCTTATCTTAACTGTGAATACCTGAGTCTATTGTGTGATGCTGAGGTTTGGGGTACAAGTGATCCTATCACCCAGGTACTGAACATGGTGCCCAACAGTTTTTCAGCCCTTGTACACCTCTCTGCTTTCCTTCCTTCCTCCCTTCTTCTCTCCCCGCCAAGTAGTCTCAGTGTCTGTTGTTGCCATCTTTATGGCCATGAATACACAATATTTAGCTTCCACTTATAAGTGAGACCAGGCGGTATTTGGTTGTCTGTTCCTGTGTTAGTTCACTTAAGAGAATGGGCTCCAGCTGGATACATGTTGCTGTAAAGGACATGATTTCATTATTTTTTTCTTTTTGAGACAGAATCTTGCTCGGTCACCCAGGCTAGAGTGCAGTGATGCAATCTCAGCTCACTGCAACCTCCACCTCCCAGGCTTAAGCAGTCCTCCCAAGCAGCCGAGACTGCAGGTGTGTGCTACCATGCCAAACGCATTTTTGTGTTATTATTTTTTTTTGGTAGAGATGGGGTTTCACCATGTTTCCCAGGCTGATCTCGAACTCCTGGCCTCAAGCAATCTGCCCATATCAGATTTCTTTCCTTTTTATGACTTCGTGGTATTCCATGGTGTGTATGTACCACATTTTCTTTAACCGACTGTTGGTGGGCACCTAGGTTGAATCCATGTCTTTGCTATTGGTGAATAGTATAGCAATAAACATGTGAGTGCATGTATCTTCTGGTAGAATGATTTTTTTTCCTTGGGGTATATATACCCAGTAATGGGATTACTGGGTTGAATGGTAGTTTTTAAACATTGTATGTGTTACATCAAATTTTCTTAATTAACTTTTACATGCATTGGAAAACAAAAAAGTTCATGTGACTCACTTTATTGGGATATCTACTTTATTGCAGTGGTCTGGAACCAAATCTGCAATATCTCAGAGGTATATTTATATGGAACATACCTTAGAAGAGGGGTCCCTGACCTCCAGGCCTTGGACTAGTACTGGTCCATGGCCTGTTAGGAGCTGGACTGCACAGCAGGAGGTGAGAGGTGGGTGTGTATTACCGCCTAAGCTCTGCCTCCTGTCAGATCAGTGCCACCATTAGATTCTCACAGGAGCATGAACCCTGCTGTGAATTGCGCAGGTAAGGGATCTAGGTTGTGTGTTCCTTATGAGAAGCTAATTCCTGATGATCTGAGGTGGAACAATTTCATCCTGAACCACTCCCCCACAAAGTCCACAGAAAAATTTTCTTCCACGAAACTGGTCCCTGGTGCCAAAAAGGTTTGGGAGTGCTGCCTTAGAACATAGTTTTAAGGCAAAGGATGGGCGATCAGGACTGGAAAAAAAAAAAGTCAGAGAGGCGGATGTGTATATATCTTAGAGGGTGCCTTTGGCCCCTGGTAGGGGTTGGAAGAGGCAGGGGAATGTTAAAGTCAAGTGTGAATTGTAATTGGATTCTTCCTGAAAGAAAACATGACTTCAGTAATCAAACTCTTCTTTTTAATTCTTGGCTCTAGGCAGCAAAGCTTATCAGTAAACCATTTCTACTAAGTGTTTCAGCTCCACAGTTCAGTCCCCTTCCTGATGATAACCTGCTGATACTTTTTTTGCGCTATGATTCCATAACAGAATACCTGTAGCAGCCCCTTCTTTTCACTTATATCTCCGAAGTGTCAGTCATGGTCCAGTTTGTATTCTTTCTTTTCTCTTTCTTTCCCATCTGAGTCACTGGCTTTGAAAAATTGTCTTGAGTTCTGCTGAAAAATTGTCTGGGGACTTTTCAATTTAACGATCTAAAGAATACACATAAGCAAATGTCACCTAGTTCTGGGAACATCATCAGTGTTCAGTATATTCCAGTTTGCTGTTTTCCTTTAGTTGGGCTGACTCTACTCTGATTCCCAGTGTTTAACCTGGGGACCTCCTCACCATCATTTTTCTTGTCCTGCTCATCCTTGACTGAACTCTTTGCGAGGCTAATGGTGCACTCCATGAAGGTTATATTAACATTGAAGTATAGACATTTATGATGTTTGCAAGAAGAAGCTTGGCAATCATGCCACTCAGCCTTCTTTATTTAGAGATATGGAAACTGAGGCTTAAAGAAGATGAGGGGTTTATCCAAGGTTTCACAGTTGATGAGAGGAGAGCTGAGCTGAACATTTCTACCTCTTACATGCTTCCCTTTCATAGGTAACTTTGTCATATTAGTTTTATTGATTGTTTTTTGCTTCAGTGGGTCAAGATGGGTTTTCTCTCTCTACTGCTATCCCAATTGCACATATGAGCTGATTTTATTGCCTATTCTCTCCCTTCTCTCATTTATTTCCTCTCCCTTCTTCCTTTCTTCCTTGTTCCCCTATCCTCCTTCTTTTCTTTTATACAAGCTTTTATTGAATGTGAATTTATAAGACACTGTGCTTCCCACTGTGGATATGGATAAGAAGAACAAAATACAATCTCTGCTTTCAAGGAGACTGAAGACTATCTGAGGAAAATAGCAAGAGCAACAACATCAATGAAAAACCAAAAGATAATAGCTGCTAATATGTATTGAACACTTTGTGGGTCAGTAGTTTCTGTGCTAAGGGCTTAGGTACATGAGCTCACTTTAACTTGACCGCAATCTTGTGAGCATTATTTCCCCATTTTACAGATGAAGAATTTGAGACAAAGAGTTCCCTCTCCTTGTTTCCCAAGGTCAAGTTCACACAGAAGGGAAGTGGGGACACACAGATATATACATGAGAGGATGAGGGAAGGAAGAATAGAGTCTACATTGGTTACATCCCACTCTGGCACATTGAAAGTGGCCTCCTCAATCTCCAAGCAGCTGCATGATGGATTAAAAGCAATAAAATTAAAAGCAAAGAAAAGTGAAGCTCTGGAGAGACTCAGTAGGGCTTGAGAAGAGCCCTGCTCACTAGTAGCCTTTTGGAGAGACCTTAAAGTGATTTTCTGCAGGGTAGGATTTGGAGACTGTAGCCATGACAATGTCTGCTGGTTGATTTGGGTGGATCTGAAGAGTGTTAATCTTCCTAAGGAATTTGAACCTCTGTGTTGGTGGCAGGTCTATGTGAGGTGTACAGAGGCCCTCCCAAGGCAGGGAGCACCATCTCTGTGATTTAGATCACTCCTCAGGACAGAGTTCCTCCTGAAGCCTTGATCTCCAGCAGGTCCTGTGGCCATCATGCAAATATAGCCCCCTGCACTTCTCAGGATTTCTTTCAGCTTCTCGTGACCCTCTCCCAGGACACGCAGTATGACTGGCCATCTGGTACAGATCCGTAGACCCTCCTCTGTGGTTTTTCTGCAGCTCTTCTCAGCCAGACCATTCTGAGAAGCTTGCTTTGGAAATGGAAGACATACAGCATCTTTTTCCAATAGAATAAGGCTGTCTATACATGAGCCAAAAAATGTGCATCTTGGGGCTTTATAGGATTAAATATGTTTTGGCAAATACTGCAAATACAAAGGGAGGTTGGAAGAAAGGCAGCTGAACAGGCTTTTAGGTTTCACTTATGTTCCCTTCCTGCAAAATGAATGATCATTTCAAGATGCATCATTTTGTTTAGCTCATCTTTAAGGAAACAAAGTTCGCTATTTATTCATAAACAACCAGAATGTGAAACAACCATTACAATCAACCAAACAAATACATATTGGGAAGAACCTTTTCTCTCTTCCTTTTCTTTGCTTTCTATGTTCAGAGGCCTTAATGACGACTGTTCCTGGTCTTCATTCATTATATACAAATGGGTTTAGCACATTTTGGCATCTGTACCCTGTTTACAACAAAATGTTCTTTTCCTGTCCTTTAAT